GAGTATAACATTATAACATGATATAAAACTCAAAAAAGTTGATTTTACATGATATTGCCCCTTTAAAAGAAGGTTCATTTTAAAACTAAAACTCTTTGGAACCCTGTAATTTTTGARTAAAYGAGATCTGTTTTCATAAAAAGGACAAAAACGGCTGTTTTCTATTKGTTTTTCTAGATATCTACACTGGATGCCATTATATAAATGGTCGCTGCTGTGTGTGTGAGTAGTGTGTAAACTCTAAATAAAAATCTGAAGTCTGAGGTCACATCCTGGACACCACACCTGACTGTCCAAACAGAGCTCTGCAGCTGATCTGACTCCATCTTGAAGCACTAAAGACAGAGGGTGTGTCTGTACACGTACTGTTATCYTGTGTCAGGTTCTGGTAAACCTGGGAGAGAGTAAACACTGCAAGTTTTAGATCAGCTGGTCCAGACTTATTTAGTTAAAGCCTCACTAACACKTCATATTTACAGAAACTAATCCTGTTTTTTAATGCGTTCTGATTATTCTGAGGCAGAGAGGCCAGGTTCTGTCCTGCTGAGTCCTCTGCTTGGACGTGGACTCTCACCTCATCGTGGTTCTTCTTGAGGTAGTACAGCTCCTCCTTCAGGCTGTCCAGGTCTCCTCGCAGGGTGGCGATGATCTGATCGTGGTCCGACTTTGCTCTCTTCAGAGCCTGACAGTCCCTCTCCACCGACTGGCACAGAGAGGCCTCRGCTTCCCATCTGCAGAGAACACCACGTGGAGAAGGAGAAACTATTACTCAAAAATAAAATTAGTTAAAATGTTAAGGAGTAGGAAACTTTATTAGTCACTTTAACGATTTAGCTTTGGGAAAAAAATGTTTTTCATCCATAAATTCAATTTTTTACTTATCTCCTGTGGTCAATGTGCAAATGATTTGTACACGCACAGGTTACAAGTAAATCCTTGTACTTTTGAGTAAAACAGAGACAAATGCCTTGATTTGGGGATTTTTAAATAAAACTCCACACTGAAAAAAAGTATAGATGCTGTAAAAAAAACATTAAAATATTTTTTTATGTTGTACTCAATGTTTTCTTGAATAAAACATATTGTAGCAATACACAATACAGCTCAGTACAAATACCATATATGTACCAATTATGTACTTGGCAAGTACTATATACACACTAGATAAGTACCACATGTATTGCCTGCTGAATACCAGGTATGTACCAAAAAAGTACAAAGTACAGCGGGTAAATTAAGTATTGAACACGTCACCATTTTTCTCAGTAAATATATTACTAGAGGTGCTAATGACATGAAATTTTCACCAGATGTCAGTAACAACCCAAGTGATCCATACATACAAAGAAATCAAACCATAAATGTCCAGAAATGAAGTTATTTGTAATAATGTGGAATGGCACAGGGAAAAAGTATTGAACACATGAAGAAAGGGAGGTGTAAAAAGGCATGGAAAGCCAAGACACCAGCTGAACTCTCTCAGTAATTAGAAAGCAAGCCTGCCCCTTGTCAGTGCAAGTTAATATCAGCTGGTTCAGTCCCAAATGATGGCCAGGTATCACACAAGAACCATCTGATGATGGGTAAAAGTAAAGAGCTCTCTCAAGTCCTTCACAACCTTATTGTTGCAAAGCATAATGATGGCATCGGTTACAGAAGAATGTCTAAACTTCTGAAGGTTCCAGTGAGCACTGTTGGGGCCATAATTCAGAAGTGGAAAGAACATTATTTCACCATAAACCGACCACGACCAGGTGCTCCTCACAAGATTTCTGACAGAGGAGTGAAAAGAATTATCAGAAGAGTTGTCCAAGAGCCAAGGACCACTTGTGGAGAGCTTCAGAAAGACCTGGAATTAGCAGGTACGATTGTTTCAAAGAAAACAATAAGTAATGCACTGAACCACCATGGCCTGTATGCACGCTCACCACGCAAGACTCCACTGCTGAAGAAACAGCATGTTGAAGCTCCTTTAAAGTTTGCTGCACAACATTTAAACAAGCCTGTGTAATACTGGGAGAATATAGTCTGGTCAGATGAGACCAACATTGAACTGTTTGGATGCCAGAATACACATCATGTTTGGAGGTCAAATGGCACTGCACATCAGCCCAAAAACACCATACCAACAGTGAAGTTTGGAGGTGGGAACATCATGGTGTGGGGCTGTTTTTCAGCATATGGTACTGGCAAACTTCAAATAATTGAAGGAAGGATGAGTGGAAAAATGTACAGAGACATTCTTGATGAAAATCTGCTTCCATCTACCAGGATGATGAAGATGAAACATGGCTGGACATTTCAGCAAGACAATGAGCCCAAACACAAAGCCAAGGAAACTCTCAGTTGGTTTCAGAGAAAGAAACTAAAGCTGCTGGAATGGCCCAGCCAATCACCTGACCTGAATCCAACAGAAAATCTATGGAAAGAACTAAAGATCAGAGTTCATAGAAGAGGTCCACGAAACCTTCAAGATTTGAAGACTGTTTGTGTGGAAGAATGGGCCAAAATCACACCTGAGCAATGCATGCCACTAGTTTCTCCATACAGGAGGCGTCTTGAAGCTGTCATTGACAACAAAGGCTTTTGTACAAAGTATTAGATAAATTTCAGTAAGTGTGTTCAATACTTTTTCCCTGTGCCATTCCACATTATTACAAATAACTTCATTTCTGGACATTTATGGTTTGATTTCTTTGTATGTATGGATCACTTGGGTTGTTACCGACATCTGGTGAAAATTTCATGTCATTAGCACCTCTAGTAATATATTTACTGAGAAAAATTTTGACGTGTTCAATACTTATTTTACCTGCAGTATCCTAATAAAACAGAGACAAAGACATCCCAGTTCTTTTAAAACACCACTTCTATAAGGCCAATGTTAATCTAATAAATTATTATAGAGGGTGCCTTTTAAATAAAAACATTCACATATATAACATAAAAAATGTTTTATGTTTACTGACATCTGGTGAAAATTTCATGTCATTAGCACCTCTAGTAATATATTTACTGAGAAAAATGTTGACGTGTTTATTACTTATTTTACCCGCTGTATGTGCTAGGAAAATACCAGGTACAGTATGTTCCAGATAAGTATCAGGTATGTACCAGATAAGTACAAACTATGTGCTAGGTAAATATCAGGTACAGTATGTACCAGATAAGTACAAAGTATGTACTAGGTAAATATCAGGTATGTACCTGATAATTACGCATGATATTGTGTATCTCTACCTTACATATTTATACATTTTAAATCTTAAAACCTCATCAGAAAGTTAAGTTGATTGAACAATGTCCTCCACCTGAACTGTACAGCAGAACCAGTTCATCAGTGTCAGTTTGTGTACTATCAACTGATTGTGAGAAACCTCCAGCAGTGGGTGTTCTGTGACTCTAACGTCTCAGCCTGGTTTTTAACCACACAACTCTTCAGAGACTAACACAACATCCCCCTGACCTGAACAATCCATCACATCCAGCCCTGAACCGGTGACCCGGTTGTTGGAGGCCTGAGCACCGTGAGAATCTCAGCTCTTATTTCACAGCCTGACAGAAAGGTCATTTATTCACATTTCTCTGTGGTCTGGCGCTCCCATGCGAACCCTCGCWGGCAGGTAAAAGAAAAGACCCTCTGTGCGACACTCACTTCACCCGAAAATCATCGGCTGCCAGCTTGGCGTTATCGATCTCCAGCATGATGCGGGCGTTCTCCAGCGTTCTCTTTCGCACCTGTACAAGGATAGAATATTTACATTAAACTCTGTTTTTATAAAATGTTAATTTTTCTTGTGTTGAATCTTCTTGTGTTGGCCGAGGATATTAAGTGATTTGATACATATTTTATATATTAAAAAATATTTAGGCCTATTTCTTCTTTTTTTTTTTCAGTAGAAAACACTGAGATCACTTCAACTCACTTGAAATTATTGTTTATTTTGTGAACTTGCTGTATTTTGGTAATCTTTTTTAGCTAGCCTTTTGCTATCTTAGCCTTTAGCTTGCATTTTGCTTATTGACTTTAAATTAGAATTTTGCCTATCTTGGCTGATAGCAAGTTTTCTATTACTTTTAGCTTTTATTGTTATTATTTTGCTACATTATATAGATGTTTTTTTTTAGCTTTTAGATTGAATTTTGCTATTTTGGCAATTTTCAAATGTTTTGCTTTTTTCAATAGGGTATTGGCTCTTTTAGCATTTAGCTAGTGTTTTGTTTCTTTAAGCCAGTGTTCTGCATCTACAAGCTTCTAGGTAGTGGTTTGCGCTTTTTAGCTATTGTTTGCTTGTTTTACCTTTAAAATCTTGGGGTTTTTTGTATGTGTGTTTTGCCAGTTTTAGCTAATGTTTTGAATCTTTTAGATTTTGACTGTTTTAACTAGTGCTTTGAATCTTTTATTCGTGTTTTGCCTTTTTCAGCTGGTGCTCTGCCACTTTTAGCTGGTGTTTTGCCTCTTTTAGCTACTGTTTTGCTTGTTTTAACTAGTGTTTTGAATCTTTTAGCTAGTGCCTGTTTTAGTGTTTTGAATCTTTTAGCTAGTGTTTTGCCTGTTTTAATTAGTGTTTTGCATATTTTAGCTAGTGTGTTGCTTCTTTTAGTGTTTTGAATATTGTAGCGTTTGCCTGTTTTAAATAGTGTTTTGCAAGTTTTAGCTAGTGTGTTGCTTCTTTTAGTGTTTTGAATATTTTAGTTACTGTTTTGCCTGTTTTAATTAGCGTTTTGCATGTTTTAGCTAGTGTGTTGCTTGTTTTAATGTTTTGAATATTTTAACTAGTGTTTTGCCTGTTTTAATTAGCTTTTTGCATGTTTTAGCTAGTGTTTCGCTTGTTTAGTATTTTGAATATTGTAGCTAGGTTTTGCCTGTTTTAATTAGTATTTTGCATGTTTTAATTAGTGTTTTGCATGTTTTAGCTAGTGTGTTGCTTGTTTTAGTATTTTGAATATTGTAGCTAGGTTTTGCCTGTTTTCATTAGTATTTTGCATGTTTTAATTAGTGTTTTGAATATTTTAACTAGTGTTTTGCATGTTTAGCTAGTGTGTTGTTTGTTTTAGTGTTTTGAATATTTTATTGGCTCTTTTAGCATTTAGCTATTGTTTATATTTTAGTTACTGTCTTGCCTTAACAACTCTGTATCAGTTTCTCAGTAAATCTCAGCAGTCTTTCGGCATCAGTCTCCTGTGATAAATCACAGTTTTATCACTGAATCTTCTGAATCACTAACCTCCTGCCCGATGGCATGAGCCTGAGCCATCATCCCGTCGATGTCGTGACACTTTGGGTTTTTCTCCAGCATGAGCTGCTTGATCTTGGCCTCCAGCTCAGCGTTGGACCTCTCCAGGGACCTGACCTTGTCCAGGTAGTTGGCCAGCCTGTCGTTCAGGCCCTGCATGGTCTCCTTGTCGCTGGCGCCGAGGCCGTTGAGGGAGAGGCTGGAGCCCAGCATGTTGAGGCCGTTTCCCATGGACACGGAGCGGGACAGGGACAGAGTGTTGATGGTGGACAGGGGAGAGACGATGGGCTTGGAGCGAAGGCTGCGTCCGCTGTCCCTCACAGAAACACTGGAGAAGGACGGCTGCCGCACCGAGAAGCTGCGCGTGGAGGTGGAGGCCATGATGCTCACTGCAGAAGAATCAGAACAGGTTGACTGGTTTTTAAAGACTAGAACAAGAAGAAATTCAACTTTGATTATTTTTTTATAAAGTTTTTCCTGTTTTTCATTTTCTTTACTTTGCAGTTTTTAGATTTCAAGTGATTTTTTTTGTTATAAAATCCTTTAAATAAACGTTAATGCAATGCAAATCTGTCAATAATTCAAAAAATAAGAATCTAATATTACTTCATTAAAAACTTTTCCTGTGTAAAAGTTAAATCTGCAGTTTAAAGTACAACATTTCTCTCATTCAGCAACAATAAARGCCTGATTGATTAAATAATCAGAACTCACATGTGGCTCAGATCTTCAGGTCTTTCCTGGCTCAGGCTTCGCTCCTGATGGTGAGCGGGACTGTTGCTGCAGCAGCTTTCACAGGTGAGTCCTGCAGAGGTGGGACGGTCTCGGCTGGGGGAGGAGCCCCTGAGGTGTCCAATCCTTCAGCAACAGAGAGGAGGAAGCAACACGACACCACTCAGAAATAACTCAGGCACACATGAGTAGCAGCACAGCTAAACAAACACTTCCTCTTGTTCAAATTTGAATCCAAAACATGAAGTTTGTTGGTTTAAAGGCTACAAAAACTCTAACTGTTGACTCATTGTTGATAGAGTTTATTTTTGATAAATGAGTTTTGAAACAATGCAAAAATGAGAATGAAATGAATACAATGTGTTCAGAAAGTCAATTATTATTACAGTTTGTGGCACAGAATCCAGGTTCCATGTCCCTGAGGTCTGTGGAYCCGGTGTGGGTTTTAGCCTGCAGACCTGGTTCTCTCTCAGCTGCACGGAGGAACAAAGCCTTCAGAGTGATGTGAGAAGCAGGAACAATGAAGGGACAGAGTGAAAGGAAAGCAAAGACCCCTGAGAAATGTAGAGAGAAATGCAGGGCGTAGGCGGGCCGAACTGAAAACCTTCACACCCAACATATAATAAGGGTCACTTATCTCCCAGCGTGTAAATCCCTCTCTGTATTATCTGTGACTCTTCACTCCTCTGAGCGTTCTGTTTCAAGAAAGGTCAAATCACTCAATGACTTTGACTTGGTTCACTGTTTTCTGTTCTCCACCCAGAACAGCCTGTMGTGGTTGAATTCTTACTTTAGTTCTGGTCGTGATGGAAAGATAAAGAAGATGTGGCTCTGCAGAGACYGGGTCAAACACAAAAGCCTTAACATCATATGTCAGTGAGATCAAACGATAAACAGATGACTCAGCTGTATTTTTTATTAACACAYTGTTTGTGCTTCAGGGGTTAATTTCAAGCTCGCAGTGAAGCTCAGCTCCACAAACACTAAAAACTCTAATTTCCCACTGTCCCTAAACGCTCCAGCYAAGGTTCAGATTTAATATGAACAAAATTAATACTAAAAGCTCACAGATAATAGGCAAAGCTGGCAATAAATAAATAAATAAATGAAAAAAGAAAAGAAAAGAAGAAAGATGTACAGTATATAACATAATATATTTTGTGCACAGGTGCTGTCAATCATGCGGGAGTGTATTTTTATAGCTAAACTACGCCCTCTTGTGGTAAAAAAATATTTTAGTTTCAGCAGGAAACGCTGAGAAAACACGATTTATTTTTTCCTTTTTAAAATTATTAGTTTATTTTAGAACAAATAGGAACCGTTTTTTTTTTCTTGGGTTGAGGCCATGTTAAACACCTTGTTGCTTTTTAAAAAAAATTGCAGTGATGTTGTTATATTTCATGCTGTTATATTCTGTAAATCATCTGAAAGATGAACAAAACAGAGAAGTCTAGCATTTCACTTCAGTGTGACTTTTCTGTAGATCGTCACTCCTGTGGGAAAAAATAGTTAGATATCCAGAGCCTTTAAAATAAAATCTCAATTTGATGAGAAGCGTAGAAACTTTAAATATGTATCATTAGGACCTCAGGAGACACAAAACATATTAACATTTTTAGGAGACAGCAAAGGTTTTATGAAAATTAAAACAAACGGTCCACACCTTGATTACTGATCTGCAATCCTGCAAAATTTGGTATAAATCAGACACCAAGTAAAGATTTATTGTGACTTAAAACTGTTTTCCAGATGTGATGCAGTGACTTTATTTCATATCAAGACAAGATAAAAACCCAAATGATGTGACTGAACTGAGATGTTTTAACCTCCTCTTCATCTGTTAGGAGGACGAAGGCTCCCTCTTGTGATCAGCAGTTTTCAGGTTTTGATTTTCAGCTGCAGGAGAAAAACTGCTGAGACTGAAAGCTTTAAAAGACAAAAACCCAAAGAGGAAACCAGTCGTCAGACTGAAGTCATGTACAAAAATAAAGACAGGAGTAAAATTTATTGATTCTTGATGAAAAAAGATTTATTGATTTTACACATTAAAATGGTATTTTGTTTTGTATTAATCTCTAAGAAAAAAAATCATCATCATCATCTAAAAGGGAAGACAAATATCTWTGCAGTTCGTGAGGTTGGATGACGTGACCTTGGGGAGTATTTCTTGTTCTGGTGATTCCGTGAGAAGACATCGCAGCAGCTGAAGCTGGACGCAAGAGTGAACGTAAAGGTCTGCTCCTTGGGTCTACTTGTGGTTCTTGTTCTGCCAGATTGCTGACTCTGTGAGAGGGCAACGATGTAACTGCAGGTGGAGGAATGTGTAATGCAACTCTGCTCCTTAGTTCTGGTTCTAGCAGTAACCCTTCAGCCCCTCTCAGTGAGACGATTGTCCACATGTCTCTCAGAAWGTCCTGTAGTTTGTCTCTGAGCTCCTCCACAGCTGCTGRCACATCTTCAAAGTATCTGAGAGGAGCAACATTGATGCTGGATGAGTGTGGAGACTCACTGAGTTCTGACACTGAGGGGTAGTTGTGGAGAAACTGGTTGTGATCCTCTGTGTCTGAGAGCTGCTTCAGCTCAGCATCTTTCCTCTTCAGCTCAGTCAGCTCCTGCTCCAGCTTCTCCTGAAGCTCTCTGACTCCACGGGCCTCAGTTTCCTGCTGGGATCTGATCTGCTGCTTGACTTCAGAGCTTCTCTCCTGGAGCAGCCGGATCAGCTGAGTGAAGATCTCCTCACTGTCCTCCACTGTTTTATCAGCAGATGTGTTGATGTCCTCCAGCTGCTGTTGAAGCAGCTTCACYTCTGTCTCTCTGCCCTGGATTCTCTGCTGGATGTTTGCTCTCCTCACCTGGAGCTGCTCCWGCTTCTGGCTCCTTTCTGCTGCAGCTGAGACGATGTGGTGGTCTTTATGTCCYTCCACCGTGCAGACATAACAGATGCTCTGCTGATCGGTGCGACAGAACATCTTCATCACCTCGTCGTGACGAGAGCAGATGTTGTCGTGGAGCTTGTTGGAGGGCTCCAGCAGCTGATGTTTCTTCAATTGAGCTACATCATAATGAGGCTGGAGGTGTTTCGCACAGTAAGACACCAAACACGTCAAACAGGACTTTATGGCTTTGAGTTTTCTTCCAGTGCAGACATCACAGGCCACATCTTCAGCTCCAGCATAGCTGTGATCAGCAGGAGCAGCTTGGAGTCCACTCGTCTTCAACTGATCAACTAAAGCTGCAAACATGAGGTTTTTTACCAGAACAGGCCTCGGTGTGAAGGTTTTCCTGCACTGAGGGCAGCTGTGGATCTTCTTCTGATCCTCTTCATCCCAGAAATCTTCAATACACTTCATGCAGTAGCTGTGTCCACAGGGAATAGTCACCGGATCCTTCAGTAGATCCAGACAGATGGAACAAGAGAAATTTTCTCTATCCAGTTGAATTCCTTCCTGCGACATTTTACCACTGAGCGTCTGTGAAAGTTTCACTTCCTGATAAATGAAACCAGTCTGAAGTCCATGGTCAGAAAACGAGGAGTGTCCGAATCTCTGCTGATAATAAATTTGATGKGGAGGCAAGAAGAAAATGCTGAAGTTTCACTTCCTCATTAAAGAAACTAGTCTGAAGGTCAGGCGTGTTTATATAGAGAATAAGGTGTGTCAGTATGGAGCTAAATTGAGGCCATAAGTTTGTTCAAAACAGTTTTGAAACTGAAAAAATAATTTTCAAACTGGCACAAAAAAAGTATATATACATTTGCAACTGAAAAAAAAACCCCATCAAACTCTAGGGGTTTTTTAGTTTTATATTTTTTGCTTATTTCTTTATTTAATATTCATTCATTCAAACTTTATGGCGCCAATTTCATGGCAAGGAGTGAATTTTCGTGGGTGAACAGCGCCCTCATGTGGCCAGAAAAATATGCTTCTGTTGGAAACGTGCTTAGTGCTTATTGATGTCCCAATCCCTTTACTAAAACTATTTTGCTATAAAGTTGAGACACTTATAGTAAATAATAATTATAAGAGCAGCCGAAATTTACTTACTACATCATTCCTAGACCCTGTTCTTTTTATTAATGATTCTTTATGTTCAGGTTTTACTTTTACATTGGCTTTTCAGTCCCGTGAGAACCCCCGAAAACATAATTTAGATATTTCTTTATATGGGAACACCAGCACTACAACTACGCTCTATTAATACGTATAAAAATAGATTGTTGTTCAAAGATCGTATGTGCTGTCGTTTTAATACCACAACAGATTCTTTCATCAATAGACGATCTTTGTCAGTAAACTGTTACATCTGCTCCGAAAAACTAAACAACACAGGGAAAAACATTATTTGATGATGTGAGTTTATAATTATTTTACTCAATGCAATAAATGAAGTTTAGGTAGACATTTTTATMCTGTATATATAATTAAAATTTGTAAGAAGTTGAGTTATTTAGGCTTTAATGCTAGCTTACTAGCTAAGAAGCTAAAAAGTGCTATGTTTACTAAAGGCTAATTTTTATGGACTGAGGTGACAGCACAAAGTAAAATGTTCTGGTTTGAGCAATAATAAAAACGTTAATAATTGTTTACCTTTAAAATTAGCCTTTTAATAGCTGTTGTTGTTTTTTTACAGGGATGAAAAAAATAGCTTTGGCCCGAATGAACCCTTCTGTGCTATCAGATTTAAAGCTCTGGATTATGTCTTTGAGGTGAGTTTGTCTTTACCTGACAATACCTTGTTAATCTCAGTTACTATGTTTTCCCTCTTGTGTTTCCTTCAGACTAGCACCACCCTGAAAGTAACCATGAACCTACTGACCCTGCCAGCACCTTACCTGACAAGTACCAGTGACCTTTACCCCCACAGAGGGAAGCTGGTTGATGGGACCTACAGGACCCCCTGGATCAGAGGTACTCCTGGGAAAGAAAGATATTTTAAACAGTTGTTATGTGGTTTAATAATAAAATATTTTTTATGTTGTGTAAAGGAAAGGTGATCTCCTCCTGCAAGCTCTTTGTGGGAGGTTCAGTGCTGGACGAACTGGAAGGAAAAAATCAACCAATGAATTCTCTAGAAAGGTTATATTACATTGAGATTCAATAGAGTCAGCATGTTAATATTTCTGGATTGAACAATTTTGTTACTTTTTAGATTTTTTGTGGAAAACYACGAGGAGGTGATACCCAGCTCTAATCCTGACTCCCTGGAGGATTTTGACCAGGATCAGTTAAAACAATCACAGATTAATGATCCATTCCAGGAGTCCTTCTTCAAGTGTACACCTGACCAGAGGACGTCAGAAAACCAGATCAAAGGTAGGTTAATTTTGTACTTTCTTTCCCCACAGTACATAAATAAATATTTCTGATCAGCTTGAGGAAACTGTTTTTTGTCTGTAGCTCTTTTCATTAATGAGGAGCTCATACCTGTGGATTACCTGCCACACTTAAGGAGACATTTACCCTCGCTGAGCGCCAAACTGTCCAGACTGAAGACGCTTCCTGTGGCCGACCCTCTGCTGAGCCCGGCAGGACTCGCCATCTCTGAGGACGCCATGTTCAGGTGGTTTTTTCTGATTCTTTTTGTGACCAGAGTGCTCTGTATTGTCAAAAACAATGTTTTAAGTATGTTACTCTGTGAAATCAAATTTTCTTTGAAATCACGTCGCGTTACAGCTGTTTTAGGGGATGTGCTTCGTATGAAAAACCTCCAGATGTGGACTCTGTAAACCGTCAGACATGTGCAGATGTTCAGGAGTTTCTTAAAGAACCACTCTTGGAGGGAGAGGTAATAAACTTTATGAATGTCAGATTATTATTATTGTTTTGCTGATTATGTCTCTTCTGCAGCTGCTGCTGCCTGATGTAGTCGACACTCTTCAGCTGGACCCACCAAACTGCGACGTCTCTAGTTGGATGAATGTTTCTCCTGAACCCCTGGACGAGCCGAGTTCTGTCCTGGAGCTGCTTCAGAATGGTAAGAAAAGTAAAAAATGTTTTAGGTCAAATGAAAATACAAATTAAAGCACAAGTTTTTTTTTTTAAGCTTCTTTTCCCAAAACATCAGTGGACATTTCCCAGTACGATGAACCACGGGAGCTAAAAGAAAACAAATTGAATCAAAGCCTGATTGAGTCAGAGTTTTCAGGTAAAGCTCTCAGAAAATATCCACAAACCTGACTTCTGGTAACAAAAAATAAAATAAAATAAATACTTGACTTAAACAGGCACAAAAGTTTTAACMGTAATGTTTTCCTCAGGTCGTGTTTTGCCACCAGCTGAACTAGAGTTGGACGTAATTCTGAGCCCGATWTCTAAAAAGAGTCCAAACATCTTCTGTCTGTCCGCCGCTCGTCTCCAGGAAGAAGAGTTGTCTCCTTTAAGTATAACGTGAGTGATGACTTCAGTTTTTTTTTATTCGAAATCACCTCATTATGAATGAGAATCTTGTAACGTTAATATTTGTCCTGCAGATCTCTGGTTTCAGCGAAGACTCAGAAAATCATGGAGGCAGCAGTTTGGAAGGCAGAGAAGCATCCGACCTATGTGGCTGGGTTTCTTCTGTCAGGTAGCTTCACGTTCATTTTATTTAGTTTTTGTAGCTGAAATTCCACCAGTTTTAGTTTGGAAAACACACAGAACGTCAAAACGTTTTTAGACCACTAGATGTCGCCGTGCTTCCAGTTCTGAAAACAGTTTCCAGTTTCAATTCTTTATTCATTTCATTAAT